AAAGATATTGTTGATTTCTTGAAAGTTGATATTTATTTTATCATTCACACTAACTTCGACAAAATATGTTTGTCGAAGTTAAACTTCGACGAAACACATTGACGAAGTTATAACTTCGGCACGACATATATAAAGAAGATAAAAAATTGAATTCGTCTAAAGTGATCAAAGCAAGTCATCAACTCTCATATACATTAGCAAAATGACTTCATTTGACAAGAATGAGCCTTAAAATGTACATGTTAATGTAATAAATAGATTGAAACAGACAAGCTAAACGATATGGTATCGTTCAATGACGTCAACACAAAAGTGTTACAGCAATACAGGAACTAAAACATTGTGAAACACCAGTAAACATACTTGAGAGCAACTATTCAGGCAACAACAGTGCATTGCTCAGAGCATTTTATTTTTTTTTAATATCTGTATACATCATGCTGCTCCTTCTCGAGTTATTTCATCATTCAACAACTCAATCGTATGGATTTTTTTTCTTTTGTCATAACAATGTTGTATTGATAATATTGCATTTGATTATGTATCAGCTGTAAATAATGAAAGTTTTATGTCATCCAGACCATAATATATACACTACGAAAATGATACATACTTTATCGAATTGATAAATACTATTGAGTACAAAAGTTCGTAATCAAAGCAAAGAAAAATAAAGCAGATGGATAAGATTTCTGTGTCATATATGCAGTGCTCATAACTGTACTAACTAATAAAATTCTTAAATAATTAATATCTAGTTTCTAAGAAATGCAAATCGTTAATTTTTTTAATGTCAAATATGATTTTAAGACGATTGAACAGTCAAAAATGCATTTTCTCATTGTCCTTTTTTAATTATCCAAGCACACAAGAATTTCTGAAAACGCTTTCTATTTGAGTGCTTGCATTTCCGTTAAAAAAACCATCAATATCAGCTACTTTCATCATAAAAAATACATGACGACGTTTAAAAACGTTACTTTTGCATTTGCATGTAGAAAGCGTACAAAAAATTTTCTCATAATATTTTTGACATATGGGACGCATAAAAATAAAAAAAATAAAAGTCATATTTATCTATAAAAGACATCCCAATATTGCAGAAAAAAAAATGTTATGAACGCCTTCCAGACGCAAAAGTTACTTTTCTGCACGGACATTAAAACCCTCAAACGGAAATCATTGTCAGAAATTTTCATCTGCTTGAGCAACACTGTTCCGAACGGATATTGTTTTTTTTTTTTATACGAAATATTGATATTATCTAATTGATAGGTAGCAAAATAAATCGTTTTATGTTGCATCTCTCTACTGCATGTTCTTTTGTTTTTGTATTATGTCATCATTGATCTTGTTTTATTATGTTTGATCAGTACCAATTTATATCAGAATTGATTAAATAGAATACTGAAGAAGGCAGTTTGAACTGTGAATATAAATCGCTTTTAGTGTTTCATAAGTGATCTACTACGGTTTTTATATAAGTAGTCTAAGAAGTCTCGTATATTCAATATTAGTCAGTTAGTTTTTTTCCTTGATGTATTCATTTCAGATGATAAACTTAACCTAGTGTTATGCGTTTTTTTTTTTCATTTCTTGTGTAATTGTACAGATACTCAAAAGTGTAGCTAAATAGAATGTAACAATGCACCGATACTGATATGAAAATGTTATTAACATATTTATCTTCTTTTTTTTTGTTTCCTTTAATACTTTCTATTGATCATTAATTGTGTTATTTCTCGTACATAACTTGTATTGCTTAAGAAATATATGCGTATTGGGAATTTGAAGCAACTAAGTAAACATCATTGTGGAGAATAGTTGTACCACTATTCCTTCATTTCGTTATAGACAATTTCTTTTCCATGAATAATATTATTTATTTTATATTATTTACAGATATTGTCTATTAGCTTTAAAAAATCAAGATAATCTTCTTGATGTCGAAAAATAACATTAATAGCCAACAATAACAAAAATGAATAGTCAACCGAATACCAATTTATTATCTTATTGAGATTTTCTACATTCAAAATTAAAGTAGATACTTATATCAATTAAAAAGATTGCAAGTAAAAACTTATTTCATTTATTTAAAATCAGATTTTCTAGTTAATAAAAATTAATATGAATAATATTGTTTAGTCAATTGTTTATAGTTTTTAAAGAAATTTCTCATAAATTTATTTTTTATTGTAGCAATTAGCATTAAGATTGTATGATATTAGTACAATACAAGTAGTGAACTGCATCGGAGTTTTTTTCGAGTTTTGAGTAAATAGTAAATAAAAAATTTACATCAAGATCAAACTCTATTGTGAGATGTGAATTCGATAGTGAAATCTTTTAGCTTTCGAATGATGCATTTGGATTGAAAAAACGTTTTATTCCTGCAGTTCTACGCAGAAAACGATCGCAAAAAAAAAAATCGGAATCGGGTTTAAATCGGACTACGATTTTTTTTTCGTACATTTTCTTTCTCTAATTCCATGAATTGATTATTTTTCCCAAAAAACAAGGCACATCATTTTGGAGGCTAGAGGACATCTCTATTGAATCGACATTTCAAAAACAGAGTTTGATATTGATGTAAAGTTTTTATTTACTTAATATTCAAACTCAAAAAAACTCCGATGCAGTTCACTAAATACAAGACAGTTGTTTCTTATGAGATTCAAAGAATATCAATGGAAAAGTATGTGTCTTGTAAATTGATTGATAGTTCTATTTTTCTATTAGCATTTAATAGAAGAAATCTGTTCCTTTTGGGAAATAAAAAATAATTGATTCTTTTTTTTTTTTTTGTTTCTAATTAAAACTTATTTTCTTATTGAGATTGATTTTTGTTTTACAATTATTATACTAGATAATATTAAGAAACAAGACGAAGAATAAAAAAAAAAAAAATTTTCTTTCATAGAAACATATTGTTTGCTTTGTTAGATTAATGAGACGAGTGGAATTTGATGCGCTATACATTTTTGCATACTATTCTCTATTGTCTCTGTGTATTTACGAACCAATTTATGATTTGCTGAATTAATAGACGTCTACATGGATGTGCACTTCTTTTTTTTTTCTTCGTCGCATTGCTTAACAAACTTCATCATAGACACGTATCTATCATAATTTAAAGTTTATTAGGTAAGATAGAAGAATAGCTACAAAGATAAAAAAGAAAAAACACCGCCAATATTCTCTGTCAACTATTGTCAGGCTTATCTAGAAGACTGTTTATCTTCCTAATATATAATTAAGCTTTATTGAAGAGTTAATGCCCTAAAGCCTATTATTACATCGCTATATATTTGGATGTTTAATAGAATAGAAAAATGTATTTGAAGAAAATCCCATACTTGAAAACATTGAAATAGTTCTTAAATATACACATGAAAATACATAAAAGAGTGAGTACAAACACTTGAAAGAAATGGAAAGGAAGTAAAGAATAAAGAAAATAAAGAACGTTTACAAGAATAGAAAACAGTGCAAATAGTTGGAAGATAGAAAAACAAGAGAGAGAGAGAAAGAAGAATATACTTCTCTATTGGTAATCATAATACTTGTGATAGGGTTACAAAAAGAACCGTGAAAATAATGCTAAATTGACATCATCATCATCTAAAATGTAAGGAATGGCAACTTTATTGCTATTCTTCAGTCAATTAAGGTCTTACTTGACAAAAGAATAGTAAGAAACTAGACGTTTAAATTTGTATACATAATTTACTATGAAATTTTTTATCGAATGATTGATTCTAAAATTTATTTGAAACTATTTATTTATATAGAAAAGATTCATCTATTAAAATTATTCAATACGTTTGTCGGCAGCACTATAATTTCTTTCTAATTTTCTCTTCTTCAGTAGTTTATTTATACAAAACGATCAAGATATTTGGCAGTATCTATATTCCTTATTACTGTAGTAAATAGACTGAAATTATTATCATAACGTTTTCTTTTTCTTCATTAGTCAAATAGTATAATTAAGTAGATTAGTGACATGTTTTTATCACTTATGTTTTTGACATTAGGCAAAAAACAAGACAAGCCTGTTATATTACATGATGTAAAAATGTAATTTACATCAAATGGACAATTTGATTTCTTTTTCTTTCTATACTAACAACAACATGAGCTAATTATTACAGTGATATCAATATAATCATCATAAAAAAATATGAGAAAAAAAGTATTGTTGAGTATATTTTTCTTTTTTTGCTAAGAAGACAGAAAATAATAATTGGTTATGCAAGAAAAAGATGAAAGTACAAATTCATTTTTTCTGATATATAGTTTTAGTTTATCATGAATAATTTTTCATCTAATACAACTATGTCTTATAATCAATGGTCAATAGATAAAATCATTCGTATTATTATATTAGCAATTATAATGTGTGTTACATTACTTGGTAATAGTTATATTATATTTGAATTATTTTGTCGTCGTCGACATCGAACACGTTTACATTTATTTATCCTTAATTTATGTATTGATGATTTAACAATATGTTTATGTACGATGACATCAGAATTATTTCTTTTAATTTTCGATCAAGAATGGATATTAGGAAATATTGCTTGTAAATTAACACTTTATATTCAAGTTGTTACACTTGCTTCAACAACATTTATTAATGTTGCAATGACATATGATCGGTAAGAATAAATGTATCTTGTTTTTAATGATTACAGTGAAGTTGGACTATACAGATATAAGAAACAAAGTAATAGAGTCATGTTTTTCTTTGATGTGTCATTAGATAGGAAATTCTTGTTGTTTATTATCAAACAACAAGAAAAAGAATCGAAGGTTTCTTGTTTCAAATGTCATGATTGTACACAATGTGGACAGAAAAAATATAATCATAACATTTTTGTTTTATCTATTTATTGTCTTGTCTTTCTATTCAAAAATAGAAATATTTTCTGAATATGAAAATTGATGATGATAAAAATATTTATTTTAAACTTGAATTATATTGGTTTTTTTATTGCACAGAATGTATTGAATCTCTAATTGGATGTTTTCTTATTTACGGAGTATACTAATTGAGATAACAGGAAATATTCTAAATAATATGAAAAATCATTATATTCAATATGAAATGAATGTTTCATGTTTAATTACAAGTTACATATATTCTTTCTATAAGTATAAGATAACAAAATTTTTAGTAGTTTGTCACCTGCTGTTTTTTTTAAAACACTAGTATCAGAATAAATAGATACGATATTTTTAGAAATTCTAATTTACACTACCATATTGTTGAGCTATTACTAATTGTTGACATTTTTTATCTAATGTCAATCTCTATTACACAAAAATTTTATAAATAGAATACTCTTTCATGATTTATTCCGAAAGAAAGCGTCATTATGGTTTCCGTCAGTTAATGGCTAATGAATTATAGTTATCAATCATAGGAATCTGTTTGTATTGAATTATCAGATTTTCTCTTATGATTCAATTAATCAAAGATATTTTTTTCTGTTATTCATTTGCTAAGATTAAATTGAAGTATTTATTATATCAATTGTCAAATTCTATCACTAGCGATAAGTCTCTCGTCAGAATTTACAATGAAGTCACTTATTAAATTATTCCGCTATAACGTCTATTATATGCTTTCATGACCGTAAATTTCATTTTAAATACAAAAAAAGAAATACAACTTTTCGAATGTTTTATATAGAAAAGAAGCTTTTAATGGATATAATTGGTCTAATTATTCAATAATAAGGTACGGATAATGCAAATCATTTTAGTTGTATTTATTTGTCATTTGATAGAATGTGATATGTCGATCAGAAATATATGGATTTCAAATTTTTCTATTGTCTTTTAGGAAAGAGATATAAACCCCTCCCCACATTAGAAGACCCCTGGTCTTCTATTATGTCTCGTCGTAAAAATTTGTCAGAGGGGTCTTCTATCATGTCCTAGGTTTTTTACCAATTATTAACTGAAAGTAGTTTTCCAGAAATCTGAGGCGATTTTCAGGATTCTTATAGGAATTTTCACGGTTTTGAGGGTCGACGGATACATTTGGA